CTGTCCTGCGGTCGGTCGGTCGGTCGGTCGATCGGTCTGTCGGTCGGTCGGTCGGTCGGTCCTCGAGGTGAGGCGGACCACTCGATTCTCCCGTTAATCCGGCGACGACGACGGCCTCCTCCCGATATCAACCGCGACGCGACCACGTGAGCCGGCTCTCCCGGCCCTCCGGGGTTCACCGGGATTCTGGGACTGTCGGCCGCGGACCCTACAATGTGCATCTTATTTCGGATGTTCGTCGCGTGCTCGTCGCGATCGTGCATCCCTTCCGCGTTCGTCGCATGCGTAGGATTAATCGATTTTATGATCGCCATATCGAAGGAAATCTGAAGATTGGAAGTCGTAACTTTTCAGCTTTCGTTTTATTTAGTACACTGCTTCGACTTGGTGTTTCTATGGTTCTCGGGAGAGAATGTTCTCCTCGTTGAATAAGATCTCCGCGACATCCTTCGGATCGAACGGAGAAAGAGCGAGGCGTGGTCGTGGGCACTTTACTCGTTCCTATGATCCTTTTTCTCGACGAACGTCTCTGCTTTCCTCGTCTCATCGACGAAGCCTAATCGCTCGATTATCGGTCTCGTGATCGGAAGCGACGCATTACGTCGGACCCGATGGAAACTGATACAATGCCACGATTTTCCTTGCGTGGATTTTCCGGCCGATGTCCCTTTCGGTCGTCTAATTACAGCGGTTCCGATCGCGGCATCTAATCGACTCGTTCTCTATGGCTGGCTACTGATCGAGCCGCTTCTCGGGGGGTTTTTTTACGTCCCGGGGAATCCCGAGCGGAGAAAACGCCGTGGAGAAAAATTGCGGGACATCGACGCAGCCGTCAGGAGTGCCTAACGACTGTGCGAGGTAGCTTAATGAGTCCTCGGCGAGTCCTTAACGACTCGGTCCTGAGGGAGAGGGAGGCAGTATCCGGTTCGATCGGCGTTCGATACGCTTCTGGGGGTACTAGGCGACGAGCCGGTGGCGATATCGGGTCGACGGGAGGGTCGGGTGGAAGTTACACGCCTCTCGGCGCTTCTTTCTTTCCCCTTATCTCGTGAGATTCCGCGTCCTCGAACACGACGGAGCCTGGAAATCCCCCGATGAGATCTCGCGGAGGAAGCAAACGATCCGCGAAGCCAGTCACGCGGTCGCGCTTGACTCATCGGGTCCCGGAAAAGCCGGGCGGCAGGAAAGCGAGGGAGAAAAATCATCGGACCTTACTCGGAAATCTCTTCAAGGTGGTTCCTCCGAGTGACCTGGCCCAGGGGAACGAACTCGGCCGATGATTCACGGCGCGAAACGGGGGGGAACAAAATAACGAAAGCCCGGCTCCTTTGCTCGGCCGTTTCATCCGGTCGGTCGGGTCGGGTCGGCTCGGGCGGCCGAAAAACTCGAGGAGGCGAAGCGGTCGTGCGACGACACGGCCGTACGGCTGCGCGAGCGGCAGGGTCGCGCGATAAAATCGTCCGTGCGCGTCTAATCGTTTTCTCCGAGCCGCGGGTGTGGTGCTGGCTTTATTGGGAACCGTGGCTGCCGATGGGCCTCGGAGCATTACGATTCCGTGAATCTCCGGAAGGCCTCGCAGATTCGGAATCTTGAAGATCGTGAACGATACTGTAGGACAGGATTTCGTGGGCGTACAATAAAATTGTGAGAACTTGGAATAATACACTTTTCACTGTGTGTCCTAAGGACACTGTTCAGCTCACTTTGTTCATTGCACCCAAGATATTTTCCCTTAAGAAGGCGACGACTGACGAAACGCAGACGACAAAGTTCAATTTTCTCTTCACTAGGATCATCTCACAATACGATAGATACTGAAGCTCTTAAAGAGATTCGAGACGTTTATACTGTTCAGTGCTCGCAGAGATCCGAGCGTTGGCAGCGTGGAAAGAAATTTCGGTTCGTCCCGAAGTGAAGATTGAAATGGCGGCGGCCGGTCGACGGGACACCGGCGACGCGCCGACACCGCAGAAGCGACCCTGAAGTCCCGTGATCCCTCGAGCGAGGAATACGTCGATGCGTTGGTTAATGAGACAGGATAATTCCACTTAAACGGAGCGAGGCTCTCGTTAGGGCCGAGACAATGCGGCCGGCACGGACCGAGGGGTGAAATATTGCGCTGTGTTCCTCCACCGATTGCCCGTTCCTGCGGCACAATTTACAGCGGGACCGCGATTTATCGCGCGTGGGCGCCGCGCAGCTCGTCGTAAATCGGACACAGACGGATAATTTTCGACCGGGTTTCAGCGGGCGTGCCGTTTCAAAAGGTGTTCCCCCCGGTATCTCGTTAATCGCCGCAGCGTCCCCTAAGTGGGCTTTCACTGTTGCGCCACGCCGCCTGAACAATCGCCCGTGGCTCGGCTCCGCTCGCGAGCGTTTCTCGTTCGCGATATGAATTACGACAATGACACGCTGATATCTTGATCGATCTCGCCGAACGGACCGGCGGTGGTTGCCGGCGTGTCGCGTGCCCCCGTGGACCTTGTAAATCGATTCCGCGACACTCGACGAACGGCTATCCGTTCCCCTTTATTAGCTGCTTAATGATAATGGAATAATTACAGTTGATCCTCCGGCCGGTGGCAACGTCCGCGAGTCCGGCTCTCGGTTACTCTAGTCCACAGGATTACTTTCACGCTTTTCAAGAGCCGGCAACGGGTCTCGCGATTGTCCCTCGCACAGTTGTTCGAAGGAATTCCTCGGAAGACTGTCGTAAATTCACGCAATTCCAGCAGCTGCGCTCTCGCTGAGGACGAGCCACGCGCGTTTCGGAGCCAGGTGATCGAACAGCTCCGTCCCGAGCAGCCTGGAAGCCCTTCGCGAGGCGAGCGAGCCGAGCAGGTGGCCGAACAGAAGGCTGCACCCTGCTTCCTGTGCCGGTCAGCGACGCCGCACCGCGATTTCTACGATTCTACCCGCGGGACCGACGTACCTACCGCTCGTCCCCGTAACCAGAAGAGACCCGTTTCCTACAGACGCGTCGACCGACCGTTTAACGGGTCCCCGGCGCCGTAAACGCGCGCAATTAAGTTCCGCTTTGCGCTCCGTTCGCCGCTAATTGCCCGATGAATTTCTAACCGCGAGAAAACTGAGAACCGCAGCCCGACGGGCCAGCGTTTCCGTGCGATGGAGACATCTCCTCGATTTCTACCGCTCTCGTCTTCGTGAATCTCGCGCGGATTAATCTCTTCTAACGCTAAGCAACGGGGGGATCGCGAATTTCGGTGCACCGGTTAATCGTTCGCGAACAGGCCGAAGTAAAAGTACTCGGCATTGAGAGCCCGGGAAAAGAGAGCAAGAGAAAGAGAGAGTGAGGGGAAGCAGGCATATCGCAGCAGTTGGTTATGTAGGCTAAAGGCAACGCGCGATCGATTTCACGAACGATCTTCCCGTACGCAGAAACGAGAAATCAAGGCCGTCACTTATTGCATCTTCTTCGATGCTCGACGGAAACGGCTCCGCGCGTTCCTCCTACTCCTTCGCCGCCCTCCCACTCGAGATCCTTTGAAAAAAGTCGGTCGCGCATCGCTCGCGCCGGCTCCGAGCTGATCGGCAATTAACGCGTTGACCGCCGAATCGGCGCTCATCGGAATCCCACGCGGCGCAGAGGATTCGGGAATATTTCCAGCGAGGAACCTCCGAGACGAACTTCGAAGAATCCGTCT